CCATCAGCAGCGGCACAAACACCATGGAGAGCAGCGCGCGCCGCGGGTTCAGGCCGGTGGACGTCATGCCTGAGTAAAGCAGTGGACCGACGAATGTGGCGACGCCCGTGCCCGACGACCAGGTGGATAGCACGTCCCTGGAAACGACAGCATATGACGGCTGACCCATTGGACGTCACCGGTTTTCAAGACTGGCGGACGTGACTGAAAGCTGGAGAATGCATTATATTTCCGTGTGCATGCTTCGGTAAATAGCTTGTCACCTGTCAACACGGGGAGAGGAGGAGACGGAGGTGGATGGGAAGGTAGAGATGGTGATAACCGAACGGAGCGGGAGGGGTTACGGGAAAGGGGCAGGCCACAGGAAAGTGGAGGCAGAGGACAAAAGTTCAATAACGTTACCAAGGAAACGGTAGGTCAACTAAAGCATCACGTGTGATTGCCGTTAAGCAGCCATGGACAGTCAACACTGGCAGGCGTGCAACCAAGAGTTTTGTGTGGAGAGGATCTCAGCACTGTTATACGTATACCTCAATCCGGAGTCTAAACAGCCTATGCATTATGTAATGTTCCCCAACAGGAGGGGGTTATGCGAGCCAGCTTTCCCCCAAGTACACCCTCTGAATACTGTCCATTGGAACCAAGCTGGTCGGTCAATGGTAAGTGGCACAGGGGGGGGGGGGGGGGGTTGTGTGGCTCCTCTCTAGCGTCACCCCGTTACCAGTGGTTTCATCCCGCCAAGGGTGCTGATTGACGAGCGAAGCGACCGGTCGATGCTGCACGCGGCGCCGCCGACTCCCCCGCCGTCCCTGTCGCAACCTCTCATACTGGCCAGCGTAGGCCAGGAAGGTGATGTCGCTGAGGCCGCGGCTGACGGAGGCGAACAGCACGCCGGCGAAGTCGAGCCACACGTACGCCGAGAAGGCCAGCGTCAGGTAGCTGAGCAGACAGAGAGTCACCACCAGCAGCACGCGTACGTTCACCGGCAGCCGCAGGAAAAACAGCGCCGACAGTGTGATGGAGGCGGCTGGCAGCGTCTCGGCCACCAGTAGCGCCTGAGGATCACACGGAGGTCACGGCGACGTGGCAGAGGTCATACGGGGTCATTGCACTGCGAAAAAGGTCAAGCACGTGACACGACACGGTGATGCTAATACAGGGGTCACGGTACGGTGATGGAGGTCATGCGGGGTCATAGCACGGTGACAGTGGTCACATAAGGGCCATGGCACCAGAGGTCAGAAAGGGTCATGGCTCCAAGATGGTGGTCGCTTGGGGCGACAGTAGCGTGATGAGGTCACAAAGAGGTCACGGAAAGCTGAGACCACACGGAAGTCACACCACCGTAATCAAGTGATGAGGTTGTGATGGTGCCGTGTCCTCTGCGGGGGTCAAGGCTGCATGATGGAGGCGGCCGTCATTGAAAAGATGGTCACACTTCTTGGGCCCGTTCCAAAAGTCCACTTAAGTGAATGATTAAGATCAGCAGGTGCTTGTAATGGCATCAACATGTCACATCAGTCATCGGAAATCCGTCAGCCACCAATCTTAACTGCCTTACTAATCAGTCATGATCCCAAACCGCAACAAACAGTATGCATGTGCATGTTTGTATATAGAATGAGTGATGAGCACAACTGAAGTAGGCTGAGCCGGGAATAACATGTTGTTATGTGGTAAGGCATGTCTAACTTGGCATTCTGCAAGCCTGCCTTTATCCGCCTGACATGCTTTCACTTGGCCATGTTTTTCCCGGTTAGGAAAAAGTAAAATTACACACGACAGCGCAAAAAGTGATAAACCACCACACCATCCTTTATCTCACTGAGACTCATCCAAACAAGGGAGGGCAATGAATCGCAAGCCTCCGTTGTTTTTTTATTTGGAGGTCAGGTTGACACAGACGGTACGAGGTTTGCAGGCCCACCACCATCCGTCACCTCCGTCGCCTCGCGCTTGTTTAGCGCCGGAGCATGATCTGAAGCCGACGGCAGACAGCCCACCACCCAGATGTTTATTGTCCTTCGCCTGCGACAAGCGTCGTTTCTCCACATTCCTCTCGGTCTCCATTGAACTTTGATGGCTCAGTGGAGTCGTTCTGTTGAGCTGGGGCAATGAATGCTCGCGCCGGTAACACGAAGACGGCTCGCAGGGCGCGACACGCGCACTGCTCGGCAAGCGGGATGTCACGCTGCTCCAGTTTTAGATGAAAAATGGTGTCGGTTGTCTGCATCGCCGCGACGCTAGCTTCCCGCGCGCGGTGGCTGTTTGTTTTATCAGGGCGGCGAGCGGTGGGTGTTTGCGCCGACCGGAAGACTTACCCCGGTGGAGGTGGTCTGGCACTTCTGAAGGCGCATCTCACGCGTGCCCAGCGACGCCTCTGTGAAGTTGTCGTACGGCGCCGTGTACACGCCGGCGCCGGCCGTCTTCCGGCTCTGTCGGCTCAGCAAGCGTCAGCTGGTATGCGCCGGGCTCTGTCGGCGCTCGCCAGAGTCAACTGGTGCTCACCGGGGTCAATTTACGCCTACCAGAGTCAGCTAGCTTTCATTGGGATCAACTGGCGCTCACCAGTGTCTGTTGGCCCTTATGGAAGGCTGTGGAGGTTAGCAGGTCGGGGATACTGAGGTCGCCGGGGTCAGCGAGGCCTGCTGGCCAGGGAAAGAGAGGTGGCCGGGGCCGATCAGACCAACTGACCCTGACCGTCAGTGGGGCCTGCCGGCCAGGGAAAGAGAGGTGGCCGGGGCCGATCAGACCAACTGACCCTGACCGTCAGTGGGGCCTGCTGGCCAGGGAAAGAGAGGTGGCCGGGGCCGATCAGACGAACTGACCCTGACCGTCAGGGGGGCCTGCTGGCCAGGGAAAGAGAGGTGGCCGGGGCCGATCAGACCAACTGACCCTGACCGTCAGTGGGGCCTGCTGGCCAGGGAAAGAGAGGTGGCCGGGGCCGATCAGACCAACTGACCCTGACCGTCAGTGGGGCCTGCCGCAAGACGGTCCATGGCGAAACACCAATTACTCACAAGCAAAAAGTTGCAGCAGTAGCCACGTAGTCAGCTCCGCTGCATTCAGATATGACATTAAAACTTTACGTTAAGCTTGCGCGCGGTCGTGCCCGAAGGTCACGAAGGTGACCGCAACGATAGCAATGGCGCGGCTTCGGTTGTACTGAGGCGCGTCAGCGGCTGGAGCGGGCACACCTGACTGATCTCTGACTCACTGCGTCGCCGGTCCGCGCCAGGATGTCAACGGCGGCCGTGATCAACACCCAGTACGTGAAGTTGTTGCAAAATCCCAGGATCCTGTAAAAAAACTGGTCGTTGATTTGACGCAAACACGGGTGTGCCCAGGCGGCCAACGGAGATATAATCCCACGACGATGAAAGAGCCTCTCTACACTGGGTTTTTGAGAATTGCTCGGCACCAGGTACGGTATTCGGCGTGTGGCCCCCACAACATGGTACCCTGGACCCGCCCTCGCACCCAGATGTGACGGTAAACCCAGAGCTGACGAACCAACCTTGGGCTAAACAGAGACATAAACCTCCGAAGTCTACCACCATTTGAGAGCAGAATCTTAAACAAGTTTTCAGCGTGCGCTCCTGGCCAAAAGATCATCATTCCCGCCACAATCAGCGTGACGTAGGCCGCCGCGAAACTGTTTTAGCTACTTCATGTATCGCTAAACCCAATATTTGCGATTCTTTTCTGCAGTCAAGACCATCATTTAAGTGGCGGGTAGCGAGCACCCCGAGCCAAATGGCACGTGTTTTGACTATCCAAGTCGGGTCACAATCAGCCAGTTTTGCCCGGCTGGGCGCAGCGGCCGCGGCACACAGCGCAAACAATCCTCACGTATTGGCAGTGTGCTTCGTAAAGACTAAAAGGCATCAAAACACTTTTCAAAACACACATAACTGCTGCAAGAAAAGCAAATTTTCTTATAAGGGGCACGTCTCTCCATCTCAAATTACACGCTGGTTTAGGAAACACCCTAAATAACCGAAACAGGCCTTTATGAAACATTTGGCATGACAAGTGTGGGCAAAATAAATCCTAATGTTTACGCAGCGCTATTGATATTACCCGTAACTAAAACCATAGTTGCTGTCCAGTTGAACGTGGGCAACGAAAAAACGAGGAATGGGCTACGGGTCCCCCGGCGGGTCCTTGCTCTGAATGAGTTGCAGTACTGGTTGCTCTTTCGTCAAAGTTCGTAAGAACCGTCGGTCAACGCTTGACACATCCTCCCCCAATTAAGGGACGAGATCTGTCGCAGAGGCAGAGCCGAGGCGACCAACTACCATGGTTTGGCACGTTTGCATGGTGGCGACAAATCACCCAGTGTTCGTTAAATCTGTTCACGTGCAACACAGTGGTCTGACCCACATCACTGAAGGTGAAATGACGCCAAGCTGAACTACATTCCTCGGGCTTGAATCCTCACCAAACGACTATTAGACATCTTCACAGATCATCTCACTCCCAAAAGAAGCAGCCAAAAAGAAGACTGATGTGCCGTTGGAAGCCATGCAATGTTCCTACCGGCAGCTGGCGATTACCAGTACGGCGACAGTTCATTACAACAGAGTATCAAATACATGCAGCTGCACACACCAAACACTTGCAGCTGGCGTTTCTTTGAGCGCTATGCACTTTATCAAACACCCTTTTAAAGAGCGTCAGCGACTAGAAGGGAAGTATTAACGCTTAGGGGTCTTGGTGTGACCGGGATTCGAACCTGTGCCCCCACGCGGGAGCCGGAAGTGTCCGGAAGTGTCTTGGTCACTACTTTTCAGCTGCAAAACGTTTCCTCGTTCAGTACACACACTTATATAAATATGCAGCATATATATATATATATATATATATATATATATATATATATATATATGAAGAAGTCCTACAAGTTTTCTAAACCAGTTCGAACATAGATAAAAATTGAATCTCACCAATAGCTGAGCAGGTTTCTACTCTTGACAATGGTTCTTTGTTGATACAGCCTGGAAGCAGAAACGCATTCATACATTAATAACTTTAAAACATGTACAACATAAAACCACCAGCCTACTTTCACGGAAGTGATGGGCACGTACTCGGGTGAAAAGCAATTGCCCTCCCCCACGAAGGTTTTTCCTGAATGATTTCTGAATGGCGCAGTGTAGCAGCGCCAAACTTTGGATACCTGTGGGCAATTTAATAACGAATCGTTTGGTACCAAAATTAGATGTGCCTGGTAAGACTGCCGACTTATGGCAGGCCAAAGTCAGGCCATGAATATCAGCGAAGGCTATTTCTATGAAATCTTTAAATCTGGTGCGCGAGCGGATTGTTAGACGAAGCCACATAGCTCTGAGATAATTTCTTAGTCAATTAGCCAATGAAATGCAGAATTACAGCAAATTTCATTGACCTAGGGTCAGGCATAAAAGTCAGACCGAGGTCAACACTAACTCGCTTTGTATTCGACAGCTTACTTCATTAGGTAGTTTCTGGCGCTCATTTCGAGTTTAGTAATAGCAGGGACAACAACAGGCAAGCTCCACGACCTTTTTAAAGGCCAGAGTATGTCACTGACCTAAAATGACTCAGACCAACATTTTGTTTTCGGGACATGCCGCCTACCGTAAATTCCATAACACATATTTGAATGACAGAATACGAGAAATCTCATAGGTTTTTGTGAACCACCCCTTCTTTAGGTCAAAGAAGCTCACTAACCTTGAATGAAAACCATTGACCTTTGCTTAGAACAGGTATTTCGGTTCACGGCCATTTTATGAGGAGGTCTGGGGGCACTTGGCATATTTATCGGGGGTTTGATCTTTTTTACCTTATTTGACTCCAAAATCAGGGTGTGAGAACCTCACATTTTGTCATAAGTGAGTTCACATACAGTCCAATCCAGCCCGTGAATTTAGTGTCTCTAGCTGGATCAGTTTTTTTGAGATATCAGAGGGGTCAAACTGACCCCCACCCAAGCGAAGGGTATTCAACCGGCCATCTTGACGTGTGTTAACATTTGGCATCTGTTGAAAAGACACTAAAGGTGGGAGACATCAAATGATAAATGGCTGGTAAGCGCTCATAGATCAACTCCAACTGAGCAGGCATATCAGATAAGTCATATGAACTGACACATGATGGATCTACACCTGACGGTGCCCGCGCCACACACACTGAAACACGAGACTGGTCCGAACACGAATTTACGAACAAGACGAAGAAGACGAAGACTGGAAAGAAGATGGGCCTGTAGCCTCAAAGCTACCTGTGGTGCAGACGACCTCCTCCGGGTCGGCCTGCCCGGTCAGCGGGACTTGACAAGCGGCGCGTGCCTCGTCCGCCTCCGTGGAAGGCCCGCCCATCACTGGAAAGGAACGTCGCCAATGTCAGCGGCTGGCCGTCGTCCAGCCATGGCTCCATCAGAAGGTCAGGGTGAGCCAGCCCATTTTTGTATGAAGCGACGCGTCATTCAAATCATCTTCCAAAAAGTCAGAGCACCGTTTCACACCACCTGTTCCCCGATCGGTGCGGGGGGGGGGGCTCGGCTGCCACCGCCGGTCGTTACTGCCGCCGGTCGTCGCCGCCGAGCCGCGCCTCTGGCCCGGGACCGGGCGCCGCCGGGGCCGCCTGGCGCTCCTCACCGTGTACCGCGCGTCCGTGCACTGGGCGCCGGCCGTGCACACCGCCGCGCGCGGTCGATGCCGTGCGCCGTCTGTGAGTGGGGTGGCCAGCCGGCCTCCTTTGTCCGGTCGGTGGCGAGCCCCGGGGCACAACACGACCACAGAGCGGTGACGGACCGCTGTCAGCCTCAGTGGCGACGGGGACGCGAACCAGGACCCTGTGCACATTCTTCCCCTGAATCTTCGGCACCTGGTTCGGGCACAAGCACGAGGGAAACCATCGCGCTATGTGATAAATTCCAATGACAGTTTTGGGCTTAGAATACATATATATATATATATATATATTAATATATATATATATATATATTATATATATCATATATGTATATGTGTGTGTATGCATGTATATTATCATATATATTCATTTTATTATTGCTTTTTAATTTATTACTTTTTAATTTCATTATTATTTCATTACATTGTATATACTCATTTGGAACGTCAGCTGACCATTAAGTCATGCAATACAGAGGGATTTGCGAGTTCATATTACACACTGTCGATACCTATTTCGAGCATCCAGTCATGCAGACAATACGGACGGTGAACGCTGATGAGAGGAACTGGGGTTCTAAACAAAATAGTTCAGCTGTATCATGCGCTAATGGCATTACACATCATTCCATAATACACCACTCCATAAGACACCATTTCACATTCGCCCAAGTTTCCGTCCGTGTAAAATATATTATTGCAGAATTGATGCTCTCTACCGTATGCCTTCGTGTCTTTCAAGATGAATTACAATAGTTCTCCTTGCAGCAAGATGTTCGCTTACACCGTAACAGCTATTCGAGTTTTCTGATTGTGGAACATGTCACTGCTGAACCGCAGAAGTCTGGACATGTTTAAGGGGATGGGAGACTGATCCATCTGTTTTCCTCCAGGTGCTGTTGGCGTTATTCGCAACTGCCAGTTAGTGCAACCACGCACCCACTAAAATGAATCACAGTGAGTGCTTTGTTTTGTCCTACGTCTTGGAGAATTGGTCAGCATACAGCTTGGCGCCTATTTATTCCGGTAGATATACAAAGGCCACTTCTGACAAAAATGTGCTGCAAAGCTGTCAAATTAGAGAAGTTTCCTTAATGTATTCCCCGGCAGCTACTACTGTAAATACAAAATTGACAAGCATAACAAATATGCACTGAACATAGGAGCGGCCTGCGTGAAAAAGTAGGTGTCGACATATAAGCAAACGAAACAGAACAAAAACAAGCCAGGAACACGCAAGAAAAAAATGAAAAAAATTGAAAGCAGGCATTGAAAAGCATATTTAACATAGCGTACATGACTGGTACAATTATAGACAATTTCTGACTTTCTTAGACATGCCCGTAACCACGACCCTTAGATCGCGGGGACAATCAGGTCTGGAGGGGTGAGGCTGGAACCTAGAAGAAATAGTCTGAGCTGGAAATGACATTTTAAATTATGGCGTCGCCTGCCTCTCGCCCTGGCAGAAAGGGCGGGTGCTGCGGGAATCGAGCCGCGCGCCTCTGGTTTCCCAGGCGCAAGGCGACTTACGCAGACGCATTAACCACTGGACTATCGACACCATGGGAGAATAATAGCAGACAAGATAAGTTAGGACAGGAATGGAGATGACGTCACCAGACGGGCAGAAAAGAGGAGGGTAGCACAGCACAGCGCAACACATAGTGAGAATGTGCAAAAGGAAATTCGTAAAAATAAATCAAGAAGAGATGTTGTCTTCATGCTTGCTCCAGTTGCAATATGAATCTCGGCTTTTGTAGTCCCCCCTCCCGCCCCTGCCTCCTCTTTCCACCACCAGCAGCGATCAGGTACCGTCGTCATCACTGCACATATAACACCCCTGTGTTCCCCCAAGTGTGAAACACCCCAGAGAGCTAACACCCCAGGGTGAAACACCCCTAGGGAGTGTAACACCCCAGGGAGTGTAACACCCCAGGGAGTGTAACACCCCATGGCGATCCATGGCCGGCGGCGGGCGGTGGGCAGCATTCGAAGGTTCCGCGGTTAGAAAGCTGAACAAGTTCGATGCTCAGGAAACTGGGCCTTTGACCTGACATCATGGAATCGAATATCGACATATCCACAACAGATATGATACCAACTGCGAGATGTCATAGCGGCCAATCCACTGGTATTTTCCGCTAGACTTTATCTTTCTTAGTTTGGAAACAACAAAGGCATGAGGGTTGTCGCGTCGATCCGCGCCATCAGTCCGCTTTACGAGAAACGGTGTGTCAGTGCATGGGCTATCAATCACCTTATGTTTCTCTTACAAGTCACCGGTCACTTATATTTCCTCTGAGTACGCACACAATAAACCATAATCTCAGGTTGCAAGGGTGTAGTTTCCTATTGAGCACTGAGCCCCTCATACTTCGAGCCCAGCCTCCCCAACTTTGCCCTCCCCGAACTTTGCGAAGAAAATGGGCGAAATCCGTGGAGAAGCCTGTCCGTTCTAACCGTTCTAATTTGGTGGTAATAAAAGTTATTTCTCAATGTTCATCTCACCTCCACTAGCTTGAAACTGCACCATTGTAGTCTGCATAGGTTTGTTTTGACGAGTCACTTAGAAGCCACTGCGTGCTATTATGTTTCTACTATCTTCACTGTTCACCACCATTATTGACCATGATAGGCAAGAACACCTTGTATTTCAAACTCCAAGTGCTTAGTTTGAGTGGACCCGGTAGTGATTATTTGGCCAGATCCGCACACTTGAAAGTGCTCGAAGTTTCTCCATGTGGATTTCGCTCACCTCGCTCAGCATCGTTGCCTTTTAATCTTCGAGCTGGCATAAAAAATATTTCTAACACGCTGTCATCGCGCGGTTGCGCTGTTATCATCGGGTCTTGGTTGCGACCCTGCCGCACACCCGTAGCGGCGTATTATGTTTACGTCCGGTATTTCACGGTCCTAGAAGCCCAGCGAGAAGAGTTCTCTCATTTGGTAGCTCTGCAGCAGTTTTTGACACCCGTTTTACGCCTACCAGAATAAAAATATAGCGGACAGAGAAAGAGCCAGGGAAGAGAGGGAGAGGGAGAGGGAAAATCACCGGTCGCCTCCCTCTTCGATCCTCCCTAATAAGCAATTCACGAGCCGCGCGCCATCGAACGGCGCGCCGGCGGTCCCGGCGACGGTGGTGGAGGCTGCGCCGCACTGTCCGGCTGCTGGCCGGCACAGTGGGACCTGGCAACCGCCTCGCCGAACAGGTGCAACCGCGATGCCCAAGTCTGAGCACGCGTTGCATATGCACTGGGCTGTGTAACTTTTCCACATGCGCTGGAATTTCAAACACAATAATCGGTATTTTGAAACTA